ATAACTATATATCAGAAAGAGAAAAAGAAGCAAGATGCCCTGGTTCAATACTATTTATTTATTTTTTTTACTGACAACTACATGTTTTTATCATCAAATTACCTAAATAGCAACTAAAATTTACTCTAAAATTCCTGCAACAAATCTCATCAGTCACCAAATTCAACTAATGACGACCAAAATACCTACTACCACCAAAAAAATCATAGAGCCAAAATTTTATAAAATATAAGTTTCGTGTTTTCCTGTACATAATTTCGGACACTTGCAAAATAATCCAAAACTAACACCATATCAAAGATTAATATAAAATCTTAAACAAACCAACATAAGTACAAATTCTAAACAATCCGAAACATTGAAACATAAATACAAATGTAGATTATCTGAAGCATCCAAGCCACAAACCGATACAAAATAGAGTGTCAAAATATATCCAAAAACACAAAACAAAACAAAATCCTCTGATGACTAGCATGTATACTCAACCAAGAAAGAAGAAGAAGAAGAAGAAGAAGAAGAAGAAGAAGAAGAAGAAGCCTCACTCAATGCCAAGTTCTTTTTTGTTTTTCTTTTCGACTGATGCCACAAGTGGTGAAATGTTAAATTGGCTCATAATATATATGGTGCAACCGATAAAGGTGAAATCAAAACTTATTGTGAATCTCCTACATGAAAGACTGAATTCATTCAAACGAACAAATCAGCATGATGTCAATTTTTTTTAATTAATCATTCTTAATTTAAGAACCATGTTGATTCAACCTCACTTTCAAATCTACATGTCAGAATGCTCTAAATTCTGTAAGTCTTTCAGCCTTAAAAATGAGCCACTTCATGAACATACAAATAAATTTTATTTAATTAAGCCAAACACAAGTTAAAAATAGAGTTGCAGTGTATTTTACATAAAAAGAACGGTGTTGTGAACAACAGAGACACAACAAGCTGCATTTTTTTTTTTGCAGCACATCAACTCTTTGAAGTCTTTGACAGTCTTGACTCCAAATTAAAACTGCATTTTATTCCAGTCTCCAGTATCCAGGAGCATTAATCCTTCATTAAAAACATTAATATAATTAGAAGATCCTTAGTGATTTGCTCACTTTTGGTTCATTAAAAAAAAATGATAAACAGTATATTACAAATGAAAAAAACTTACATGAGAGGGACGAAGGCTCCCACTCATTGGTGAGTAAAATGTTTCTTCCCAACCTTTTTTTAACATCTGCAACAAAATTCGGCGACATGTTTGTTAAAGGTAATTCCTTCAGGGCAGGCAGGTGCTCTAATCCATCCAACTTCGTCAATTTTTTGCAACCTCTAATTTCTAACTCCGCAAGTTGGGGCATGCCACCTCCCTCCAATGTCCACTGAACTAGGTTTTCTAGCATCCACAATTTCAAGACGCGGAGTTTAGGGAAGTTCCCTGAAACACATCTCATTTCCGACCCTAGATAAGAGAAAGCAAGAATCTTGAGGACGTTCAGTTGAGGCAGCAGCTTCCCTATCACCGGCATTGGATCTTTTATGAGTTTTGACATTGACAATGTTAGGACTTTGAGATTCAGGGGAAGGTATTTAATCCCATCCTTTATCACTCCAAACAAATATAAGTTTGAAAGAGATTGATGGTCCTTCAAAGGACTCAACTTGAGGTCTAAAGGTTGACCGAATCGATCTTTTGATCTCAATCTTAAGGTTTGGAGTTTGTCAAGTCCTGATATGCACTTGGCTGTTTTCTCTGCTGATTTTGGATGGCATGACAATCCCAATTTTCGAAGGCTGGTGAACTAGTCTAAACCGTATTCATAAGGGTCCTTAGCACCAAGCAGGAGCCCCATTATGGTTTGAAGGTTTGTCGGTGAAGACTCTTTTGATGATGGCTTCGCAATTGACACCTCGTTCATAAAGAGATGTCGAAGGTTCTATGCCTTCCAAATGGAACCCAGCAAAGTGGTTATATTAGTATACTTCAAATCTAAAGTCTCCAAGCATGGTAGATCCCCAATTGATTCCGGACAAGATTCTAGACCGGTCCATCGCAAGCCTATGGACCTTAGGTTCTGTAAGTATTAGTCGAGTTTCTCGGGTAGCAAAGGTTTGTGGACACCCTCTAGATCAAACACTTTCATCAGGAAAATACCTCTAGATCTCCTCTTACTAATTATTGTGTTAAGCAATGTACCGACTTCTCTATTAGATGTACCTTGTTTTTGGGCTTCGAATGAAACATAAGAGCATAGATGTTGAGTATGAGACTCCAAAGTAGACTTGACCCCAACATAATGATCTGCAAGCCTCCGAATAATTTGATTAGACTCATGTACATGTGAATTACAATGGTGGATTTGAAGAAATCCTATATCGTCGGCTTTTGGCAAGAAGACATTGTAAAGAAAGCTCGACATTTGACATGTTTTGGGGCTTCCGTCTTCTTTCCATGTGGCTATTTCAATCATGTTTCTCGATACTAGTTCTTCCAAATATGCCTTGGCCAGAACTTTAAGTTCAAGGACACTAGTCGCAGTAGTAGTTGATATTTGAATAAATCCCTCGGCAATCCACAATTGCAACAACCTCTGCGTAGGAATCTCATACGCTTTAGGGAAGAGGGTCAAATAAAGGAAACATGGCTTTAACACATACAGTAGCTCATGATAGCTTAAAGCTACGATAGTCAAGAGATCAACTGATTGATCATCATCCCCCAAGTACTGTGAAAGATGATCAATTACACCGGACCACTCATCATTCGGTTGTATGCTCGAAAACAATCCTCCAAGCATGACAATTGCTGGAGGCAAACCGCAACATATTCTCACAATTCCTACCTTGAAATTGTTCAAATTATCATGATTTGCCCCATTTACCACCTTCAAGAACAATTCCCAACTCTCCTCATCAAATAAGCTCATGAGTTTCAATGGGTGACCCCACGGGTCAACCTCAGATGCAAGCTTAGAGTCGCGCGTAGTGAGGATGACTCTGCTTGCATTCGCGACAACAGCGAAGGGAGTGCTAACATGATCTAGACATGATTGGTGCAGATACCATCCAATACTATTAAAAACCTGAGCTCCATTAAAATCTAGAAAAGCAAAGCCAACTGTTGGTGCTCACTAATAAGCTCCACGTCAGCCAATACGCCACATATTGGAATCTGTTTGATTATTGCAAGCAACAGATCCTTGTATGTGAAATCTTTGGCGACGTGGAGCCATGCACGACACTGGAAATGCTACTGAATGTCTACTCTGTTGTAGACATTCCTTGCCAGTGCCGTCTTTCCAAGCGCTTCTTCGCTCACCAGAGAAATCACACAGAGGCTTTTCTCCTCCTTGTTGTCGGTCAATTAAGCTATTAACTCCTTCTCAACATCTCCACGTCCAACAAGTACATCGTGCTGCATTTTTTCATGCGTTGCGAATGTTTGATTAAATTTCTTATAATCAAGGATATTGTATTGGTCTGTTTGTGTTGCCGGTCGATGTTGATGTGGAAATAATTAAGTGGATACATCTCTGAAGCTTCGTACAATTTTATTCATTTTGTAGGTGAATCGGATTTGGATCCATGGTCTCCTTTGTTGGGTGTTGAGGAGGAAAGATTCGATGATATATTCTGCAGAGTAAAGAGTGCGAAGAAGCCAAGGCCAAAGACGAAGCCGAGACTCATCGAACCTAGTGGTATTGTTGTTTTCGGCATGGAGGAAGATCAAAATATGTTTGAGTTCTTTCAAGGTGAAAAATCTAGAAATCCCCTAGATGTTGATTTGTGAATATGTATCAATTTTAAGCAGTATATAACAATCCCAATCAAACAATCAAGACAAATCGACACAATGATTTTACGTGAAAAAATCAAAATTGGAGCACCGCCAATTGTGATAAAAAAATCACGGGCAACAGCCACAAAACAATCCACTAAGAAGATATAAAGGAATTGCACAGGTATACTCTCAATTACCTAGCGAATCCACGCCCGAATTGAACCAACCCCTATGTGCCTCTTCCAACCCCGTCTTCACTTCGGAATTGTCTTGACGATGAGCCACTCCAGAATCCACCAAAGCTTCAGACTCAAATTCTTCAGAATCCACCGAAGAACAACTCTCTCTTTTGTATAGAATGAACAAACAAACCTTTGATGTATTCTTCTTAACCCATGAGTTGAATACTCAATTAAACATCAAAGAAAACTAGCAACATATCCCCAGATATAAACCTTAATATCCAAAAAGAAGATCTGAAAAAGTAATCCTAAAATCTGACAGAAACACGTACTTATAGAAATCTGGGACTGTGAAGCTCGCTCGAGCGAAGCTTCTCTCGCTCGAGCGAGGAACTAATCTCGCGTGTTTTTCCATAAGTGGCTTCGCTCGAGCCACACAACCTTTGCTTGAGCGTACATTCATCCTTCTCAGGTTTTTTTGCCAGACGCAGCCTTTGCTCGAGTGAGCAAGGGCGGACATGCAACTTCGAATGCAATTTTGCATTTTGTTTCGGAGGCGCTGCCCTCGACCCCGTCAGGGCGCTGCCCCAAACCCGCCAAGGGGTGCTGCCCCCTGGACCCCCACGAGCTGACCTGGCAGCTTGATTCCTGTCATAATCAGCGAAGTGGCAATCTTGAAAGTATTAACATCACAAACTTCTTTGCAAGGCACAATTCGGGTTGGATTCGCATCTAAAACTCATATCCTCACTGAAATACAAGAGCGAATAAAATTACAACTGAAAGGAGTTTTGTCAAACGGGATTGCCAAGAATAAAAACCTAACACAAGGCAACGTCCACGCGATTTGCTAGTCCTGGAAAGATAAATCTTCCTTCGGCAAGAACTACAAGAACAGATTGTAATTTTTGAAATAAAATTGAAATAGGCACATCATCAGCCATGGTCATTCTCTCTCTCTCTCTCTCTCTCTCTCTCTCTCTCTCTCTCTCTTTTCTTGCTTGCTTAGTTTCTTACGGATTCACAGCTAGGCAACTGTGAATCATTGGACGCGGACTTCTTTATTCTTTTTTTTATATGCTTTATGCTTTATTTTTTTTTTAATTATTTATAATTTTTTTAGTGACATGGTGTTCCATGATTTATTTATTTATTTATTTATTTTACATGATATGATAAAAAATTAAAATTTGATATATAACTTACAGTGTCACTAGGAAAAATTTGTTGAACTTAAATTGTAATCTCAATATTTTTTCCAATTACTGACCGGTGAATTTATCAATCACATCGTAAAAAATTATGTAGAGCATTGTACTATTAATTATCAACAAAAATATCTTTAATTATGAATTTAGTGGCCTTTAGTTATAACGGAAAATTGCCACCGAATGGTATTCCCACAAAATTATTATAAGTTGATGGAAAATTTTAAGAATTTAGTTATTAATATTTATAATTTTTTTATTGATCTGTAATTATTTTTTAAATATACACTGAGATTTTGTTTGGGAACAGACTATTTTAGTAATTTTTTGACTTTTTACGAAAAGATGTACAGAAAAATAAAAAAAGTGATGTGACAACTTATAACGACCTTTTAGCTAAAATACATAGTTCTCAAACGAGACTTGAATTTAATTTTTCTCTAGTTATAACGTGTTGGTTGTAACTTAATTATTATCCATAGTGTTTGTTGTGGCTTAATTATAATATATTGTGGTTATTATTTTAATTATGATTGGAAAATCATATTTATGTCTCAAATCGTGTGTGGTTATGATTATTGTTCCTTTGAATGATTGAAAGCATTTTAATTATAACGCGAAGTAATATCAATATCATAAAATGTCATAACTTACCTCTGATATACGGATTTGTATTGTAGAATCTCCCATATATTACAAATTGAGAAAATTACCAATTACTTAGAAAACTAAATCAATAGATCACATTCATTTTGGATGTGAGCCATATTATATTAAATTTTTTTTACACAATATATTTTACTTTTTGGATGATTTTTAGACTACAAATTCTTGGTATATAGCATTTTTCAATTTTTATACTTAAAATTTATAACGGTTCTGGTTTAGACCCAACCTATTTCTTACTTTTGAATATGAGAATCCATATCCTTAATTGTTGTTCATCTCATTTTCATCTTAGTATTAGTTGAGTTTGGTTGTTTAGGAATTGTGATTGCGTTTGAAACAGGTTGAGAAATTAGTTTTTCAAAGAGTTTTTGCCCAGTTTTTTGCCTGTTTGGTCGAGCGGTCTTTCTTGCGCTCGAGCGGTCTTTTACAGTTTGCAAAACTACTAGAAGTGTGGTATCTTCGCTCGAGTGGTATTTCTTGCACTCGAACAATTTTTTGCAGGTTTGAACTTCTGGGAGGGGGTCATTGTGTGCTCAAGCGGTGTCACTTATTGTGTCTTGCACTCTATCACGACTCAAAACCGCCCCTATGGATTAGGATCATAACCGACCAGTAATCACTTGATTACTTACAGCCTCAAACAATAATACAGAATAAATACAATAATGGGGTCATAAGTGGAAGCATATCACATACAAAGAAGTCCATTGAATTGTGCTAACATGATCAAAAAATATATAAATTGCTTAAATTATAGTGCATCACACATATTTACATGTCCATGCAAAACTTTATGTATCAAAGAAGTTCCTTGTACATATAGTTTACATAATCCAAGACCATCATAGCAAAGCTAACACAAAAATCGTATCAAAAGTGAGTCAAAAGACAAAAGACAGAGGCTCCATCTTGGAGACTTGACCAATCGGTTAAAAAAATAACTCCGAGTGCAGACCCTACGGTTGGTCTCCATGCTGCTGGTCACCTACATATACATACATATATACGGAGTGAGCAAAGCTCAATGAGTAACACTAAAGTAAAGAGATTTGAATGAATAAGCATAAGCTTTACAAGACTATAGTAATTGAAGCAGATCTTTCCAAGATATAGCTTTCATACAATATCTGTATTCACATTGCAGAAGGGTCTTGACCCCAACATCGTACAGAACGGCCTCTGGCCCATTAAATAGTACGACCTTAGGCCCATTACAATATTAGAATGGCCTCGGGCCCAAACATATCATAGTATAGTAGAATGACCTTGGGTCCACATTGCATATATCATATCACATTCATGAAGCTCATTCATTTTGAACAAAACACAAGTTACAGATGGCATATCCGTTAAGGAGGAGAATAAGTACTTTAAAGCATATATTTACAATACTATTACTCACAGTGATATTAGCCTTGCAATGGTCCTTCTGGCAGGAGACCAACACATCATAACATAGATACAAATTCGGTAAACAATTCATTCATTCTTAGTCTTTTCCTTTATTTACTCGTTTACGATTCATTTATTTTTTTGTTTATCTTTAAACATTCTAGAGGGTCTAAACATGCTTGCACACAATTTTAGAGGGTCGGACACGTTAGCAGAGATTGACGATTTTTCACCCTGTTTTCCGCACGTGCGGAAATCCTTTACAACACGTGCATTTATTTCAGAAGTGATGCTATGATTTGCCTTGTTTTCCGCACGCACAGTTGTGAGCCCTACACATGCAGTTCTGGGCTTTTCTGGGCAGTCCGAAAATTGTCTGAACCTTAAGCTTTTAAACTCATATTCAAGCCCCAATTCATACAAATCCATTTCAAAAAAAATGACATATATACATGATTAAAGTGTATTTCAAACTCAATTGAATCAGATCTTACTTAAATTCCAAAATCAAACCCCTAGCTTTCACAAATTGATGAATTTCTTCATTTTCTTTCAAATTCACTTACGTTTTCATTAAGTATATAATTCTTGAGTTAAAATCTTGCAAATGCTAAAGATTAGGGTTCAAGTTTTCACAAGTAACCTCAAAACAAGCAATGAGAAAGATATACAATCTTAAATCAAACAAATCCAAGGGATTCAAGGTCCATTCCATAACTATAATTCAATTAAGCTCTTAATTCCAAAACCCTAACTCTTTTAGGTGTGAAATGTCCATTTCAAGACTTGATTTTAAATAAGCGAAAAGATATTTAAAGAGTTTGAGCTAATTTTTGAACTTACCTTGAGCT